AAAAAAAAAAGATTATGCAGTTAAGCCTCGTAGACTATGTCACGAAGCTGACAAGTAGTAGCCCCTGCCAATTATCACATTTTCGCCAGGCCGATGAGGTGCATTTCATTATATAAAAACATTTTTATTTTGTGGCACAGACACTACAGACATTGATCCAAATGAATTTCTTTAATTTTACCCTCTGGCCTAGAGGTAATCCTTTGTGATAAATGGACCAAATTTACCTTCCTTTTCGCACATTAAATCTCAATTTTATATAAACACAGCCATGATGTCCTTTTCAAATCAGCAACTTCTGGGGCATTTTCCAAAGAATATCCTCAAACACACCCAATAGTTGTTTTTTTCAGAACCTCTTTTTTTTGTGATACTGGGGATTGAACTCAGGACCCCCTGCACTTGCCAGTCAAGTGCTTATTCCACTGAGCTATCTCCCCAGGCCATAGAACCTTCTTTTGTTGGTCTAGGCAGTCCTCAGGAAAAAGCATGACACAGATGCATGCTAATAACTACAGAGCGGCACGAGAGGTCTGCCTGCCTACCTTTAGATGTTACTAATATCAATCATACCTGAGCTCAAGCATTAGCTATTGGTACTACCATATTTTCCTAGCAAGTCCATTGCTATTCATAAACCTTGCTAAATTTGACCTATCCTTCATGCAAGTCAAGACTAAAGCAGCATTTAAGCACAACTACATGCTGGGCATTGTGAAATATTAATAGCACAATGTGGCTAAGACAGCCTATCTCGATTCTCTTGAAGAGATGGATGTATCAGCTTATGACTCCAGTATAAAACACTTGAGTGCACTCTAATAAATACTCGTTTCTTTCATCTTTCACATCTCCTGTCCCACTCAGGCTGCTTTTATTTACATTTTATACATATTTCCTGTTCATTCATAGAAGTAATAGATAAAAATGATGAGCAAACACAGCTAAATACAGGTCCTTGAGGCACAGCACTCAGAAGCGCCGCATGCGCTCAGATGCATTTGTTAATCCCTGCCCTGCGGGACTGAGTGTTCCGCCAGCTAGATGTGCGGCCATCCATGCTGTTGTACAGCGAGCGCATCTCTGACCTTGACAAACATTTCATTGTATGTTCTGTGAAAGGCCAAATGCCACGTGCCACTGAATTCTCTCTCCAAGCCTGCCCAGCTGTGAGCCCTGTCAGAAAAGTGATGACGTTTGTATGACATAATTATGGTTCCTGACCCCATGCTGGCCGCAAGTCCTCACTGCTTGCTCTTTCAAAGGAGGTAAATGTGTGTGTAGATCACAGGATTAGCTTGCTCATCGCGCCTTAGAATTCCTTTTGAGCTCTTTGGCAGTCCTGACCCTTCCTGCTTCCTAATTCCCTTTCAACTTGTAAAGCACATCCCCCCAACCCCAAGGGATCTGAGAATCTACTCTATTTACCATGTATTTTAGTTCATCTCTGGCTGCCTCCACATAAAGTAGTTCTGTGGCAACTACTAGAGATTTCCTAGTTATCTACAATTATCAACAGTTTACTAATATGAAAGATCAATCAATTGTAAATGTTTCCCATTTTCCAACCATTGCTTGTTCAGGTTTCGGGCAGGGGCCAGCCAAATGCTCAGCAGATTAAAGTGCCTGCAAGCAGGTGCAGGGGCCAGAGGTTCGATCCCCACCCTTGCCATGCCGGCCCCCTCCCCAGGACATGCTGAGACAGCAATTGAGATTGGGGTGGTGGTACTTGCCTGTAATCCCTGCTCTTGGGAGGCTGTAAACAGGCAAATCACCAGGAATCTGATCTAGTAGTGAGACCCAGAACACCCTGTAGACCCTTCCCCAAAAATACAGAAAAAAAAAACTTCAGACAAATCATTCCTGTCCCATATTTTATCTTTCACTGACTAGCACAGCTACCTACCTAACACACTTGGAATAGTTCAACAATAGATTAATAATCCATGCCCATGTATATGATTCAGGCATTCAGCCTCA